TAATGACCCCTTGTCCTTCTGGGAACTTCACTGACTTTGGAAAAGCCCCATGTAGGGAAGTGATCATTTTGAAACCCTGGGCTGTGTGTATTGAGAAGCTGACTGACGGGAGCCAGAGGAAGAATTACCAACCTCCCTGCTAATCTGGCTCCTAGTACCATGCATTAAGCCAACTAGTAAAAATCATTATGAAGTTTTTGCTGAAAGGGCAAGTGTAGAAAAACATGTTTCTAAACAGAATAACAGTCTTTGCCATTTTTTTCCAACTTGCATACCATCTGGAAATTCTGATTTTTTTTTCAAAGGGTAGCAAAGAAATGTGCTTCAGGCACAAATAAATGTTTACAGCTGAGTTATAAACCGAGAATGGTAGGGTTTAAAACAGACAGGCTGGCAGTGATGAAGCCTAAGCTGCAGCGAGACAAATGATGCTACAGGGAGCAGGCCAGCGTGTTCCACACAGCTGCCCTTCTGAACAGGAAGTCCTTCCCACTGACCACACCAAGCACATGTTTGAGAAGACATCCTCATCTGGGCTTGCTTTAGTCCTTAGTTGGAGAAGCAAAGATGAAGTGGCACCATTTTCTGTCTTGATATTCTGAAGACAGTCTTTCCTTTTGGGAAATAGGGCATTGCACAGGAAGTGGCAGCCCAGGAAGACTTAGTGAATGGACCAAATGAAGGAAGCCATAATGGCGCCAGTGACAGCAACAAAAATTCATGGCTTGCTTACTATGTGCCTGATACTACATGCAATGTTTTACAATGGTGAGCTCATTTATGCTGGACAGCAAGCTTATGAGGGAGCACCATTCCACAGATGGGGAAGGAAAGGCTGACAGAGGATAAATGACACACACAAAGTCACACAGTCACTAAGGGATGGAGCTGGTGTTTGCATTCAGCCATACCAGCACCTGAGTCTCAAATCCTAAAGCAGTGGTGCCAGACCTATGGCACGTGCTGCGGTGGGGTATTTGTATCACTGAAAGGTCTAAAATGTTCCCCAGCATTGTCCTAAAGGATCTTTCACGATAAAGTTACCATGAATATATTATAACCAGTGCTTGGTTAAGAAGGAGAAACTGTGCACACCTGTAATCCCAGCACTCTGGGAGGCTGAGGAAGGAGGATTGTTAGAGCTCAGCCCAGGTAATTTAGCAACTTAGCTAGACTCTGTCTCAAAATGACAGCAATGACGACAATAACAACAACAACAACAAAGGGCTGATGTTATAGCTCAGTGCAAAGGCCCTGGGTTCATCCACAGTACAAATGAAGGAAAAACTGATGCATTGGAAGTTTGGTTTCTTCTTTCTGGTCTCCTATAACTTACGCAGTTATAGGAAAAGTTTTAGAAAAGTAGCAATGAGTTTTGGAGATGATACAGGACAATCAACACACACTTCTCTTCTCCTCTGGTAAAAGGCCATATAGTAAATACTTCAGGTTCTGCAGACTATAGTCTCTTTTTAACCTGCTCAGCTTCACTACTGTGTACAAAAGCAGCCAAACAGGGTGACTGTGCTCCAATAAAACTTCAGTCTTAGTAGCAGGCAGCCAGCCAGATTTGGTCGAAATGTAGCCTGCTAACTCCTGATGCAGAGGACACTTGGAATTTAAAATAAGTGACAGGTTTTAAGAATAATCCATGCAACTCTACTAGGGAGTTTATTCTTTCTTAAAATCAATGCACAGACTGGATGCCTCTTTAAAGCTCTTGTACATGGCTGGGCCCAGCCAATCAAACTGGGTCCCCTTATGTTATCTGACCAGGTCAGGATACTGTGTTGAATCTTCATTCCCAAGGCTTATCTAATCCCAGATCTATAGAAAAAGGGCTGCATGTCCTCTTAATGAAGATGTATGAACTCATTCTTTCGAACACAGAAATACACCCCAGACTCTGAGTGGTTCTGGCAGTCACTGTGCTCCTCCTTCTTGATGTGAAACCCAACCACCATTTGGATTACGGTTTAATTGAAAGAGAGTGGAGAAAAAAAATAAACCATGAACAACAACAACTGGAAAAGGGAAAGGAAGACAGAGCCCAAAGAACATACTCTCCCAACTAATTAATCAAGTGCTTTGTTTCCACTAACATATCAGAATGTGGAGGCTGCCTTGTCTATTAGAATCCTTCCCAAACCTGAGCAATGTAAATACTCCTAAAGACCAGGTAATGAAATCTCTATCGATGTGCCATCTTAGATGGGACTCACATGCCCGTGTTTTGCTTACATTTTAATTTGCTCCTGCTGGATACTTACCCAGTAATTGCTTAATAAGATTAACCTCCCTGGCAATGTGTGGTGAATCTTGATTAAAACATCGCAGTGAAGGATTATCGTATACCACAAAAAATGGAGGGGGTGTTATTTAATTAACTTATTGCCAATATGTCTTGATTGTCTCTTTGAAACACTGGAAAAGTAGTCGATTGGAATTGATTCAGGTTATCTAAATGTGTGGAATTGGGGAACAGGGAGGAGGGAAGGTCACCGGGTCGAGAAATTCAAACCTAAAATCATGTTCCCTAAAAGTGAGGTGTGCACGAAGACACTAAGATTTTTGTATTCATTTTATAAGAGAATCATCAAAACAACATAAGAAGAGATCTGCTATCTTTAGTCATCAGAATAAGACTGTTTTGGTAATCAGAAAAGAAGGGCTTCAAGTTTTATCTCATCTTTATGCACTTTTAAATTCTCGCACTTTAAAAAAAATAGGTGTCCTAGTGACAAAACCCACTGGACAATGATTTGACAAACATACTGTCGTCTGTCTCATAACTCATTTGGAAAATATCTGAGCTGGTGATGTTACATGATGATGTTACACAAAATCATGTTGCACACAAGGGGAAAAATTCTGGTCTTTCCAAAGACACAATAGGGTTTCCCCATTTGTTCACTGAGAGATATATATTCCTAAGGCTTACTCTCTGAGGGAGTTTTCTTCTGTTTTCTGACCCGCTGATGTGGGATTCTAAAGCAGAATGGGGCTTGGAAATGGAGCTTAATCAAAATGGAAAGGTGGGTATTTTATTCATGGAGGCCTGTGCAGACCAGTGATTCCCATTTGCGAAGGTCACTATTTAAAAAGCATTTGTATGTAACTTTAGGATGTATATGCGTATCAAACACACCCTGTGCCTGATGGTAGAATATATATATATATATATATATATATTCGCTGTCAAATTCATAGTCTGCACTCTTCTGAAATGATGGTGTGCCAACTTGTGAACTAAAGGACATTAATGGACAAAATGGAACACAGTCTCCCTAAAGTAGGATGCCCAAGAGCAGCACTACTGTTGGTTGGAAGGAGAAACTTCTTCACCATAGGGGCTGTCTTGTGTAGGGGCTTGTCTCTACTCACTAGACACACCTCCTCCAAGTGTAACAATCAAAAAATTCTTCAGACACTGCCAAATGTCTCCTGAGGGACAAGAAATGTCCAGGCTAAGAGCCACTTCTGTGAAGGTCACTGAAGGAATGGATAGTGTCGAGTGCTAGAGGTGAACAGATTTCCAGTCTGAGGCCATTATATCTGGCTCTGGGCTTGCTGGTCAGTTAAAGGAGAACATGATTAGTTAAGGCAAAATGTCTATTTTTCATTTTGAGCTGTAGTTTCACTCACTCAGTAATGGAAAGCATATCATTTCATCCTCTGATAAATTTTTTTCATGCTTACTTAAAGGTAATTTAGTGTTATGATTACGACAGATGAGAACAGTGATTCTTACAGACTAGATAAAAAGACAGAAGTGTCATTCTGCAAGCTTTAGAACAACTCTGACTGAATAACTGAAGGGGCATTTGTGTCTCAGTACAACTAATACACACCTCTGAGGACACAGGAATTCTGGAATCTTCTCTGTGGAAAATGACCGATTTAAGGAAAACGCCAATGTCCTGCCCAAAGCTTCACAAATCTGAGTTCAGATTTGCACGTGCATACTCGTTTGCTTGAGGGTAAGTTTCCAGACCATTCTGGGCTTCAGGTTCTTGGTGGTGATTTCCCTCCCTTTGGACCTAGTGAAGTTGCAAGATGCTATCCCTGGCACATATGAAGTGCCTAATAAATGCTACTTCCTTCTTTGAAATATCCCTGTAGGGTATTTTAAGAACTGTAGGAGTGAACTGTCTACATGTGATAAGAAGCAGAGTGGAAGATTCCACGTTTGGAGAAACTTCTCAATACCATCTCTCTGGTTTATGATCTCCATCCTGAATTAAGCAAACCCTGCCATGTGCCAGCCCCCACTAGCTAACCACACCATTGGCTGCTCATCTTTTAATTGCTCCACATCCCCACCTCCCCATGGTTCTGTTTTCTCTCCTCTTTCTTAGCACCTTGTTAGCACCTATTTTTTTCCCTCTGAAGAACACAGTTGCCTGATTGCTTCAATAGACATTTCTATTGTCCCCTTCACTGTTCCCTTCACTGTTCACTGTTCGAGGTTTTGTTGCCAAGTTGTCAAAACTCCTTTCTATTCTCCCCCAAAGCAGAACAGCTAGGAGCCCTTCTCTTTCTTGCCAAGCCAGGCACGCGGGCTCCCTAGGGAGGCTGTGTCTGCTCTGGGAGAGGAACTCAGTCTGGTGGCTCGTGCTGCCTGCTGCTCCCTGCCTTCTGATGAGGCAGAACTTTTTCCTCCTGCTGCTGCTGCCGCTCCAGCTGCTGCTGTTGCTGCTGCTTCTGCCCAGGCTTTGGGATGCTTTCAAGCAGCTCTAGACCATGCCAGTCACTGCAGATAGCATAGGTATGTACGCTGCGCCAATTCCTGGGAACTCCAGCCAAACACAGCTAACAGACAGGAACAGCAAACAGCTCTTAACCGGGCACCTATGAAAGGCAACGATTTTTTTCTCCTTCCCTTTTCTTTTCCTTTTTCGCACACTTTCCAAGTCTTGGATTAAAAAACCTCAACCAGCTGGCGAGAACTCTGAATTTTCCTGTGACCTCAAGAGGGCAAGCAGCAGCTGTAACCTCACCTTTGCCTCCAGAGGGCATTGTTGCCACATCATCGTTTCCTGGTAAGCCGGTCCTTATCCCATTGTTAAAGGTGTGTCCATCTGCCGGCTGGAGTTGCCAATTGAGTCCGAGCAGATGCATTGCTGCGGGAGAGACAAAGTAATGAGAATATGAATAGATAATTCAGCAATGCAAATGTCAAGGGGGAGGGCCAGGTGCCTTTTTCCAAGCGATGGCCTTTTAAGGAAGCTGCCATTCAAAAATGGCTTGCCCTGGCCGCAGGGATTAGCTAAATACAAAAAGCGTGTCAAACTGAGTGGTTAGGCCTCCTTCTCCTTGCTGCTGCTCACAGCCTCAGGGGGGAGGATCCCTCGAGGTGGGTGGAGGAGAGAGGAGAAAACACAGCTCCAGTCTTCCAACTGGTGTTTCCACGGAGCAGAGAGAGCTTGCTGGTATCAGTGACGGGGCAGCTCCTTTCACGTCTCCTTTCCAACACTCTGGGGGAAGCTGCTGTAGACTGGAGGTCCAGGTGCACAGACAAGGCCAATTTCCCTCCAACTACTCAAAATGTAACTCACATTCAAAAGTGAAGCTACCAAAATGGTACCCGCCTGCTACTGTGATTAGGCCGGGTCTGAAATACCAAAGCAGCCAGCAGTAACTGCGGTTGTACTGACCCATTTGAAACAGTGCCTTCCTACCTGTTTTCAACTGTGAGAATACTGTTTTCTTTCTACCTGTCCTCATGATGAGAGACACCTTTCAGCAGTTTGTGGAAAAAGCTTAGAGGGAAATGACGGTACATAGAATGGAGTCCTTTCCCAGAAAGCGGTACAACTCTGTCTCTTTCTCATCCAGAGTACAGCAGGGAAAGAGTTCCAAAGCACTGCCTCTTCTTTGCTCAGGACACAAGCATCTTTGCAGAAATCTTCACTTCTGTGAGCACAAACTTCCTGTACGTAGTTCCTGGTGCTCTGCCTGGGCCAACTCCCAGGGTTAGTTTTGCAAACTCGGTACACCCCTATTCCTAATGGCTCCTGGTGAGCTACTGTTACTGAGTGGAATGAAAGGCACATGCCAAACACCTGCATTCTCTCGGTGCCCTTACATACAAAATAAAATGCTTCATTTGAGAATAAGGAGTTCCTTCCCCTGCATATTTTCCATGCAAACAGTAACTGTGCCCCATGTCTGTCTACCGTTTCAGTGGACACAGGCTGACACTGTTGCTACGTTCCCTGCACGGCGGCGGGAGAGAAAGGGCTGTTGACAGGGGAAGGTTCGAGTTTGATGTGGGGATGGGAGAAACAATTAACCGCAGGAAACACAATTAACAATGCTTAGGAAATTGTTCACATAGCAATTAATTCTGCATGCCTACCGCCACTTAAAGTCAGGCTGCATTCTATTAAGGTTAAAAACCTATCTCCAAACATACAGCTTAGATTGATGACTGCAGATTAAGGTTGCAAGGTACCTGGGAGTGTGCAGTGCGTGTGTGTGTGTGTGTGTGTGTGTGTGTGTGTGTGTGTCTGCTTTTCTCTTACTTCTCCATCTCAGAACTGCATTTTCTTTCTACACATTACCCTGAAGTGTGAGGCCCAGTATTGCAACTTTTCGAGATGATAAATACTAATAAGTGACATTTACTGTACACTTTCTGTCAAGGTAATACCTAATTTTCTCCTGCAGTTTATCCATTATATGTAGGTCACTTACTTGAAGAGACCAGATTCTACTGCCTCAAATAATGACATATTTTCACTGTACAGAGGTCAGGAAATGAGAACTAATCGCGGTGGCTTCAAGATAACGATAGCTTCTGATTTGTAATTACCAGGTGAAGGGAGCCAAGGAATTAGCTATTTTAAAATGATTTTTGAAAAAAACCCATATTATTGGGTTATCAGAGCTTGCCTGAGCCAGCTGCTGCTGTGCTGAAGATTTGGCCTTTGGAGAAGGGTCTCTGGGTCCTAGGAGAGATGCTGACTGTCACCCCCGTGCACCGGGCCTGGCCTAACAAAGCTTTGATGTTCACATCCACAGACAGAGCGGCGGGCCCGACAGGCAAAAGATGAAAACCTCCCCAATGCCCCATCCAGGTGAAACCGCTCGTCAAAACTGTTCTGCCCATACAGTGCTCACACCTGTCATTCCGAGGTACAGAGCATATTGCTGCCATTGGCCTTGGGAAAACAGCAAGCAGACAATATTCTAATCTCGCTGAACATAAAGGGGACACTCAGGATGCTGTTCCCTGTTTTCAAGGACGCCTTCCCTCCTGCCCCCTTTTTTGTTTTGGATTCCATGTTATCTCTTTACTTAAAAAATACTGTGAAGATAAGAAAACTAGAGATAGGGTGAAAAGGTCTAGAGTCAGAGAATTCAAATAACTTCTCAGACAACTCCCAGAAGTGAAAAGGAAAACAAAAAAATGAGAAGAAGACAGGAAAAGGGGAAAAGCCAAATCTGCTGAGCAGAAGACCTGTCCTCCCGGCAGAAGCAGGCAACAAAAATGAAACTCAAGTTTGGGCATATTTCCTGCTGCTGGATCGAACGTTAAGTAAATAAGTGAGAATCATACTGGGGGCTACCTTCTGCTTTTGTGTGTGTGTGTGTGTGTGTGTGTGTGTGTGTATGTGTGTCGCTGAAATAGGCTTTTGTTGGTACTTCTTTTTTCCCTGCTTTATCAGCCATTCTTTGTCTCTCACTTGAGTAAGAAAATGAGACTATCATATTCTGGCCTATGGGAACGGACTCAAGTGTCCTTAGGATAAAGACCCAGGGGAGCTGTGAAGTAAATGAGTTTCCTGACTAATGAGAACTCTGTTTCTTTTTTGGCTACTGGTTTGTTCTGTGGTTTGGGCTGAGAAATCAGTCTCTCAATCCATCTCTCCCTTTACCTTCTGTAAAGGTTCCCTTTCACAGGTGGAATTACGGCACCTTAAGAGCCAGAGAGAGAGAGAGGTCACGTACATGCAGCCCCTGGGAGATACCCCAGTGTCCTGAATATAGAAGGCACCGAGTTGATGCTTATTAGAATAGTGACACCCCAGGGAAGACTTGGAAGGTTGGATTGTGGAAAATTATTATTATATACTTATAAATTAAAAACATGACTAGAGGATGGGTTAAAACATTGCTGGTAGCAATATGATTTAATTCTTAAGAGGTGGTTATTTTGGTTATCAATATGTCAAACACCTGCTGTCCATCACAGCACACCTTCAATGGCTAGGCACTGTGGTAAACATTTCCTCAGAAACACCAAGTAGTTGCTCTCATAATCTCCAACTCACAGATGAAGGAACTGTTGACTGTGAAGTCTGATGATAGGGAATTTCAGAATCAGAGTGGAATTAGAGTGGGGCTGGGGTTATCTGTGTGGTATTTCATAGTGATGTGGTTATAAAGTCTATAGGTAAAGGGTCATTGTCTCTGTCTTGAAACTCATAATAATCCCAAGGCAGTTCAGTATCTGTAGAGCCCTTTTCCAAGGGAGATTATATTGCTGCACCCTATTGAATCCAGACATGGCCACGCAACCCAGAAGCACACAGTCATCCTGGATCCTGAATAAAGACGACAAGGATCCCAGCCATGGTTGGTCAGTGACAGGACACAGGGTACACAAAGGAATTAATTTTTTTTTTTTTTGGTACTGGGGATGGAACTCGGGTCCTTGCGCTTGCGCAGCAGGCGGCGAAACCACTGAGCTAAATCCCTGGCCCCAAGAAATTAATTTTTACGGTTGTGACCCACCTAGCATCTGAGGTTTTTTTGTTATAGCAGCATGTTCAACTTGACCTTACCAGGTAAGACTCAGCAGATACACAAAGAAAGTGGGAGATGCCCTTTTTACAGAACATAGATGTCCTGTGCATTTTTTAAATTTTATTGGGTTGGGGTCCTCTCTGAAACCTAGTCAGGAAATGAGTAAATATTTAGGGAAACTACCTTTGTTTCTAGAAACAACAAACAAGTAGCTCCTTGAATATAACGCCATAATATCTCTGTCTCTGATCAGACTTAGAAAGCTGAACAGCCTCCGAGTAGCCACAATTACTGTTTGTTCATCTTGAGACTTCATGTAAGTGCTGGACTCATCAGTTTACATTTTACTGGACAAGAGATGCACTGACTGGGGTAGCCCCTTCTCGTGCCCCCTGGGAATGCTCCTCCAGCAGCTCATCCTAAAAGGTCTGGTTCAGACCATGTTAGGGTCAGAAGATTTCTCCCTAACATTACTTCCCCTTTCCCCCACTGACAGCCCAAACATAACAATTCATCAGGATTTGACAGGCTGCGCTCCAAAGAGACCCCCAGATGGAATGATGGGGCTCTGTGGGTCAGCAAGGATGGACCCAGGAAGGGTTCTGAGGGCCGGAAGATCATGGAATCCAGGTGGCAGCTGGGAAATCAGCCATGAGAAACACAATAGGCAGCCAAATGCTGGAAGTATCCCTCTGGCTAATTGGAGAAAACTTTCACGGAGTGTTGAAAAGGAACCAAGGTGGATGGAAAGACCACACACAGATCCCAGGTTTCAGTGAGAACAACAAACAGACCAACCTGGAGTTAGTTTGATAATTTCTTACAGAAGTGGCTGTGTTTGGGTGCCAGACAGGCTCTAAAGAGATACCTGAAGGGATCCAAAGCAAGAGAGAGGGAAGGGAATTGGTTGCAGGTAACTGAAAATTCTCCTGCAACCACAAGGGCAGTAGAGGATAGGCCTTGGAAAGTGACAGCTTTGAAGGGAGGTTGTCTGAATTAGTAATTAGGGTATGTGTAGGCCCTGCTGGGTGCCATTTAGAACATTCCATGTTCATTGGCTGGCAGAGGATCAACCTGACAAGAGAGTCAATCAATATGTCAGCAATACTTCCCAGAGAGCTGCTCAGCCCCTGCTTGTCAAGGAGGGCAAACATGGTAGCCACAGATCCTCTGTGTTTGCTGAGCAGGGCCCCAGGAGCAAGGGGTATCTTTAAAGATCAGGCTTGTCGATATATAACCCGGGGAAGAGATTGGACTTTCCCTTTGAAAATGGAAGACTGCAGGCCAGGCAGAGCTCCGGGAGGGAGGGGAAGGAGCCAAGCCTGCTGGGTCTTGTGGCTCAGCGTGCGGTTAGAGCACAAGGGCCTTC